CCGCCCCCCGCCAAAGGCCGCCGCGGAGGACGCGCTCTCCGCCCCCCACGTCTTACCAGGTTATCGAGCATCCTCATGAGGGCTTCAAACTCTTGCTCCCCAATCTGCCACCCGGGAGGCGCGCCGGTGCCCTCGCCCGCCGGGGGCCCCGGGGGGCGGGACTTGGCTTTGTACTTCCCGGGGTCCAGCAGGACTAAGTTGTCCGGCCCTCCCGAGCTGGCCAGAGTTCGAACCTGTCCCAAACGAGCAGGCGTGGCAGTGAGCGCTCCGGCCCGCACGCGGACAGGGCCCGAGCCGCGCCCGCAGGAACGGCTCCTGACGCCCGGCGCCCGCCCGCAGGAGGACGACGCCGGCCCCCTGACGGCCCACAACCTGGAGAGACTGGGGCAGCTGAGCACGCCCCCCGGCCCGCCCGCGGACGGGGCGCTGCTCTCCGAGGCCAAGCTGCAGAGCATCGTGAGCTTCCTGGACGAGATGGAGAAGTCAGGGCCCGACTGGCCGGCCCCAGCGCCCCAGGTGTGGGGGGCCCCGGGGCGCTCGTGTCCCCCAGTGCCCGGAGGAGGGGCTGGAGGCCCTTCCCACGCTCAGCGCCCCCCGCCCGGCCTGCAGGCGCAGCAGCGGGACCTCGCGGGCCGGAGGCTGGAGGAGGCCGAGAGGGTCCTGCGCCGGCAGCTGCGCCGGCAGCGGGAGCACTACGAGGCTGCTGTCCAGCGGCACCTGTCCTTCATCGACCAGGTGGGGCCTCCAGGGAGCACCTGCCGGGCGGGCACTTCTCATGGCCTCCTTGCTGGGTCCTTTCGGGGAGCCTCCTCCACTTGGGGGGTAGGGAGTTCCTGCCCCACCTGGTGTCCCCCACAACTGCTCCCAGCCACCCGGCAGGGGCAGGGCAGGTGGGCAGACGCCAGCGTGGGGTCCACCCCGGGGCCACTCGGACCTGGGCACTGCTCTTGTCCGGGAGGCAGCGTGCAGAAAGGCAGGGCTGTGAGCCCCAGTACTGGCCTCCCTGGTCTGTAGGGCCCCGGGGCTTGGGGGCTGCTCGGGGGTCCGGGCCCCCCCACCCGGGGCCTGGTGGGAGGTGTCTGGCAGGAGAGCACCTGTGGCTCTGGGTTGTCCACCTCCTGGGGGGCTGCTCCTGGTCCAGGGCCCGCAAGTGGGGGCTCCCAGCCACCCTCAGCCCAGCCGCCCCCGCGGGGCCCTTTCTGGAAACATCTCTGGGCCCCGCGGCACTCGCTGGCTCTGCTCTGCTCTGCCTGGCAGCTGTGGGTGGCCAAGTGGGTCGGCGGAGCCCTGGCCAGGCCTGGTGTGGTCTGGGGCTGGCGGGCGACGGGAGCGCCCTTCTCTGGGCTGGGGTGGGGCACCCTGGGTGCCAGAGGCTGCACTGTGGACCCTGGGCGTTCAGGGCCACCCTGCCCCAGGGCCCTCCACAGGCCGTCCTGGGCGGGGCACCCTCGGGCACCGGGGCCCGGCAGAGCCATCACCCCTGCCCCGCCGCAGCTGATTGAAGACAAGAAGGCGCTGAGCGGGAAGTGCGAGGCCCTGCTGGCACAGCTGGCGCAGGGGGACCGGAGGCACCAGCAGCAGCTGGCGCAGGTGCAGGAGCAGCACCAGCTGGTGAGGCCCGCCCCCCACCCCAGGGGCTGCAGACCCGCAGAGGCCCCCGACACCGCCCCCTGCCCCCCCAGCAGCAGCTCTTCCCTGGGGCAGCGGCGGATCCCAGACCTTCCCAGAGCAGACACCCCCCTCTAGCAGTGGGGGTTCATAAAGGCCCCCGCGGGTTGTAAGGACAGCCGGGGTTGGGGGCCGCTGGGCAGCGCGGACGGGGCCAGAGGGTGCCCTGGGGGGCTGGAGGCCGGGCACCTCCCAGAGCCTGGGGCCAGGGGCCGGGCCTCTGCCTTCTCGCGGCAGGAGATTCAGAAGCTCAAGGAGCTGATGAGCGCGGCGGAGAAGGCCCGCCGGGAGAGGTGGATCAGCGAGAAAACGCGCAAGATCAAGGAGGTCACGGTCAG